TACAATAAGTAATGTGATGCTGCCTAGCCTTGAATTACTATGTGGGATACTGTTCACTAATTATTTTCTCTAGTATCCTGTTTGCTTGTCTCCCTTTCCTCTAGGCACTGTTGGGTTCTATAAACCTCACCCCATTTTTTGTGGTGTGTCTTCTCTTCCTCTGGTTTTTCCTCTTTTTGTCGCTTTCCCTCTTTTCTTCCGTTACAGGGTATAGAGTTCTGCTGCCTCTTCTATTTTGACCATTGTACTAACAGCAAAGTGAAACTTCGTCTCCTAAATGCTTGAATGCATACAGCAACAGAGTAAAACACTGCAGGGAGTCTGGGAAAGATGAAATAACTTTTTGCTGAAAGACTTGTGTTAGTAATTTACCCATTTCAACAACAAGCAAAAAAATTTTTTTCTGTGCAGATCTCCTTTTAATAATCATGTTTCTATCCTGGATGAGTAATGTATGGAAAACCCTAGTGTAGGAATGTTGGGCAGAGTGATGAAATGCTGGGGCAACAACTTGCAACTAGAGTTAACTTGACTGGCAGAGGGGATTGTGCTGCTCTTGGCTTATTTCTAACTTGACTATCATACTGCTTGCTTGCAAAAGCAAATAGTTTGAATTTTGGGAGGTAGAACCTTAATATTTATGAGCTCTTATTTTGGGAACTGAATGCTAATGGCCACTCTCCTTTATTTTTTAGTTCCACATTGAAGTGTTGGTTTGTCTTTCTAGTTCAGGAAGCAGAGGCTTAGTACTGGGTGCAGCTCGGACCTGCATTGTCACTTCCCTCCTGCAAAAAAGTGTTTCCAAAATGACCCTTTCCATATGAGATGAAGGAGAATCTGTTAATTCAGCTATCATATGTAGGCTAGACACAGGTAGAAGCTAAAAATAAAGCTTCAGCAAATCTGTTTTATCTAACAGGGTAGATACAGAAATGCATTTCATTACAATTCAATATCTGGATATAAAGTTTGTCATTTTAAACCAACAGTTAAGTTTAGGGTAGACAGACAGTACAGAAAGGCAATTTTATTAAGGCCTTGCTTTCATGAGTTACCAGTTATATCACTGAACTCCCCTGTGTTGATACCATATGAGTGACTTTGGTTAGCTTAAATCCTTTCTCCAGTAACAAGCTAAACAAAACAAAAAACACCACCACCACCTTTTAATACTATAAGTGGCCACAGTGGGGAGGAGGTTTTTGTATAACTCCATCACTTTTAAATTTACACCTTTAGGTTATACTGAACCTTTCCCCATGTAGAAGAGTAGCTGTGATTAGCCAATATTTGTTCTGTTAGCATTTGACTTACAGTACGTTGAATGTATAGAGGTAAAAATGGTGTTTGAGGCTGATACAGCTTTACACAAATAATATGTGCAGTTCCTATCTGAAGACAAAGTACATGGTGTAACAAGTGACTAAGTTTAAAATAGTTTAATTTTTTTAAAATTGATGGTGTTCTTGAAAGTGTGGTTATTTGTGCCAGATGATGCACAGATATGTGAAGTCCACAGTTTGAAGGATAAAAGCACTGTTGGTAACTTGGACCTTCAGTGGCAAGACTCAACGGGGAGTGGTTGGGGTAGAGTGAGGGTGAGGAGGCCCCTGCATGGGCAGACAGGAAACCAGGAAAGTCCTGTAATCCTTTGGGCTGAAAATGGCAGGTAGGTTGAATCTCTTAAAATGAAAGAAGAATCCAAAGGCTCCACCTTGCCCACTATTAAATCCGTTCCTGAAGAAACATTATGAAGTGTTTTATGGGGAAGCTTTAACAATTGGCTTATCTAGTGTAACAATGATGTTCTTGTCCATATTACATTAAAAATGCTATTTAGGGCAGTGCAGTAGGGAACTTAATGTGCATCAGCAGGGTCTACATCAGTGGTGGGCAACAGACTGCATGCAGCCAGCAGATCAGGGTAATCTGATTGCGGGCCGTGAGACATTTTGCTGATGTTGATCGTCCACAGGATGGCTCCCTGCAGCTTCCAGTGGCCGTGGTTCACCACTAGTATTCTATTGTTTACCAGTGTGATTAAAACTGCAATTAATTTTTTTAATTGCAATTAATTTGAGTTAATCACATGAGTTAACTGAGATTAATCAACAGCCCTAAATTTAATACAACATTCTATTGTATAATGCTACAAGGATTTGCGTTAAAAGATGAAAAATATAATTTGAATTCATATACTCTAGACAACTTAAAGGTTTGAATTAAAAAAAAACAAACAACACCTCACATCTTTCATAGGGTTCAAAACTACTTAATCTATTATAAAACAAATGCACCAGAGAAATTAGGGCTCAGGTTATCCTAACTCATTTTTGTTTGACCACTCAATATTCAAGTCTCACATTATAAGGGATATGCTTTGATATGAAGGTTTGAATAGCTAGTGAACAGTGATGCTACAACACCTAATTTGCCAGAGGCTAATTAAAAATGCCTCTTGTCCAAAAGACACGCCTTTGTTTAAAGGTCTGTAAGGGTATTATGAAAAATACTTGACTGCTAAGGTTATGAATACTCCAGAAGTAACATCTCATTTTGCGCAAGCTCAAGTTTGTTATAAATTGAAGGCCCAACCCTGCAAACCTTCATTCACATGAGAATTCCTACTCAAGTATTCCCATTGAAACAAGTGGGACTTCTCATGTGGGTAAGGATTACAAAATAAAGAATAAGTGATGCAAATTTGCAGTGTTATCCTTTTTTTCTGTCAAAAGGATAAATAAAAGCAAAGGGGTTTTAGTAGGTATTTTTGCTCTACTTGTGAAACATTTGATGTCAAAATAGTTTAGTGTTTAAAAATTATAAAGGAGCTTTTAAAATGGGTGATAAATTGTGTACACTGCATATAATCTAATACAAGCCCTTGACATTTACTAACTTCTGACTTAATTCTGTAGTCTTTAGGGACAAAAAACTCCTATTGACTTGGATTCAGAGACTGTTCAAGTGATAATCTCACTTTTAACAGCAGTAGCTTCTGCCGGTGTAGATAATATTTTCTTCCTTTGGACTAATTCGTTCCAAATTGAGAAATCGTTTGGGACCTGAAAAAGCAGGAAAGCTTGTTTTTCTTTTCCAGATTATGAACAAACAGAAAAATGAAGGTGAAGACGACTGAGTTAGCTGCAGAAGCCAATATTTTAAGTTTCATGTTGGACTGGCTGACATAGGATGGCTCCCCACTATGCCAATCTCTTCATGGGCCACCCTGAGGATGAATTTCTGGAAAAATGCACCATAAACCCACTGATAAACCCGAGATACAGCAATATTTTCATGTTCTGGATGGGCGACCTAAACTCCCTCAGAGTTCAACCACCACCCAACCATCAAAGGCTCTCTACAATACTCCCGCACCAGCATCAGCTTCCTTGCCACCACAGTCTTCCAGCTTCAACAATGGAACCCTACAGACAAC